GGGGAGGATATAAACACTCTGGAGCCATCCGTTCATGAGGACGCTGCTAAGGAGGAGGCAGATGATGCCGATAATGAGGATGAGGATGCCATTGATGATGGATTTGACTTGGCTGAGGAGCCGGACAGAGCGTTCTTCATAGACGGCTCTGAGTGGCAGGGAGTTCCTTTACTATTTTTGATTTTATTGTGCATTGGGAATATTAAGTGTGAGGTGGGAAAGTTCTCTCGGGTAGATAGTTAGTAGTAATAATATTAGCTTATTAATTGCATTTGTTAGTTTTGTAGTACCATTGGTTTTAGCTTAGTAGTAGCAGTTAGCTGCAGTTTAATGAATTCTATAAAAAAAAATTAAATAAATGAAAAAAAAAATTCTTGATGATGGATCTCCTTGACAATCTTCTTGAGAGATTAAAGTCTAATCAAAAACAAAAAAATTAGAAAATGAAAAAATACAAAAATATGTTCTTCCTTTATTCTTGTTTTTTCTTCTTTTTTTTAGGTAGTAGTAACATGCATAGATAGGTTATAATCTCCCTTGATTTTTCTTTGTACCTAAGTCCTTTTCCAAATGATGTAATTTGAATCGGGTGATTTTTTTTAGAGTAGTTTAGGATGTAATAAATAAAAGAAGGAAGATTGTTGTGATTCTTAGTAGCATTTTGACTTGTTTGATACTAGCATATTTAGGCCTTGACATTACCTTCCCTGTATTTTAAAAGTTTTTATTCCTTGACAATTTGGATAGCATGCTTTGTGACACCTATGCTCATTTTCTTGACTCATGTTCATTTTGTGTGGTAAGCTTCATATTTCTTGGCTCTGTAAAAATTTGCTTTAATTTGAAAGTCAGAATGAAATCATCTTTAGTGAGTCATGTACCATGTATGAAGTGAATCTTTTGTGCAGTTCATGCTTTGCATTTTCATTTATAACTTGTCTGGTATGTGAGTTAAAGCGAAATTCTAGATATTTCTCAGTTCAAAAAGTGATTTTAGGCCTTCTTTAACCAATTTGAGCTTTTTATACTATCACTAATAAAATTATTCTTAGTTAGACCTTTTGAGCTCGTAAGTCTTTTGTTTGGCACCCTCATTACAAGCATATACTCGTTGTTCTTAATTAACTTTGTTGAATCTTTTACCTCTGAAGCACTTGAATCGTAAGAATAAACACTAGAAAGATTTGAGAGAACTTGGGTAGCCTTTGAGTGGAATCAAATAAAAAAAAAGTATACTTGTGTACGAAAAAAGAAAAAAAACCACTAGCGGGGAGCGCAAAAGTATAAGAAAAATATTGGGGGAAAAAATTGTTCTATGAATGAAAAGAAAAAAAAAATAGAAATAATACATCATGTCCTTGCAAGTGAGTTATGAACAAAGTAGTACTTAAAGAAAGAAACGTTTTTGGATAATCTTGTTTGATGATATTTGAAGATGGGTTATGGAAAATATTCGCTTAAAGTTAAATATTGTGATATGTTAAAGTGCTTTAGGAGGATTAGCTACTATTTCCTAAATATACATATCTTGTCCCTTAGCCCACGTTACAACCATAATAAAGTGCTAATTGGTCTCAGACTGAGCATGCCTTCATTAGCAGGAGTTTACATAATGGGCAAGTCTATAGTATCTTTTAGGTGCATGCTACTTCTTTGTGAGAGTGAGTGGATTCTTTCATATGTGGGAGTTCTTAAATTACATTCAAACTCTTAATTTGAATGTGTGGACTATTTACTCTCTTTATTTTGTTCAGAGGGTACATGATTTGATAATGGATATGTATTATTAGACTTCTTGGTTGAAATGAGTGTTCAAGCCTATGAATAGTTTGTGGAATAATTGAGTCAGTTCTTGAGGCTAAGTTATTATGAACTTGTTGTATATAAAGTTTGAATGTGCTTAGCATAAAAAAGTTGGGAAAGTGTGCATAGAATGCTATGCTAAAATTTAATTGTTGCTATCAATTATGGTCACAGTATAGTGTGCTTTGAACGTCTGACCCCGTGAGGTGCCTATAATTTAGAGTAGGTGATGTTTGACTCAATGGCGAGCAACATTTAAGTGTGTGATGTTGATGTCCGGCTAGAATTACATATTCTATGACTTACTAGTATAGTATTGATGGTTATGGTGACGTTTTGAGCTTACATATGTTGTTTATGTGCGTAAGACCACTTGGAAGTCGAATGGAGGAAGTTGCGCGATTGTCGAGCACGGGAGAAGACCAAACGAAGAGCCACTAAAGGCAGTTGATCCAGGCGCGAGGCGCCATGGAAAGCGGCCAAATCAGCCACAAAGGGAGCAACGCAACTGCAGGACGTGTCCGATGGTATTTTCCCCTAGGGCTTTCCCCTACCCTTATAAATAGTCCTTAAACTCGTTTTTTAGATGGGAAAGACTTGTTTTGGAAGTGAAAGGCTACTGGAGCACATGATCACGCAGTTTTTCTTCCTTTATTTCATAGTTTGTAGTTTTTATGCTTTCAATTAGTGATATGATTGTTATCATGACTACGAGTAGCTAATTTTATTATCTAGGATTTTGATAGAACCTTTGTAGGATGAATTTTTGTTACCTTTTAATATAGTCGAGGCTTTGAATGTCCCTACTTATTCAGCTACGTGATTATTTCAGTTGGTTAAAGGACCCTCGATTAACTGTACATATTTATTATGTGCTGCTTGAGAGAATGCGTATTTATGTATTTATTAAAAAATATCACTCACTAGGTATATGAGAGATCAATATTGCGGGTTTAAAAGCGAAATTAGGGATAACAAAGCTTTGGCTTTAGTCGTAGTGAGTTGTGAGAAAGTTCCAGCTAAAGTAGTTGAGAGAATACGTCTACTATCTTATTGTGATTGCTCGAGAGAGAATCATGGTAAGTAGAATGCTCACGATCAGTATAGAATAAATTGGCAAGATTATAAGTAACGTAGCAAGAAGGATTCCGACAATTGCAGGAAATCATAACTCTTGGCCTCATTAGTCTTGTCTATGACTCTTGCGTAATTAGTTGATAATTTTAATGCGCTTTTAGTATTTTGCAATTAGTTAGTTTAAAGAAATAAAATTATTATTTGATAATTCGCAAAGTTAATTTGCATGAATTCTTACGATAGATAAAGTTATGGTTTAGGTTAGTTTCTCGTGGGATTCGACTGTGAACTCTTTAGTTGGATATATTTGCAGCGACCGCTAGTCCTTCAATTAGGCGTAGTTGAACTTGAGTAAATTTAGCACTGTTGTCAGAGAATTAATGGTGTTATTAGTTATAGCTTAAAAATATTGCTTGGAGTTTTAGTTTAGATCAATTTTCCTGGTTGCTCTATATTTTATCTACTGAAATTCTCACATTTAGAATCTTGTGTGTCTCATGTGTATGCCTAGAAGCTCCTTGATAACTGATGAACTGATTGAAGGTTTTTCAGATCCAGATAAAACCTTCAAGGCATTGAATTGTGCAAAAAAGAAAGATAAACAAATACCACATCAACAAGAAAGGTTCGAAAGTGAGACTGTAATGGGTGATAATTTGAACAACAACAATAACAATCCGAACACTCCTCAAATTCTCGGCCGGCCTGTGGCACCTCTTGTGCCTGAAGATGCTCTCTGGGCATAACCCACAGTTGACAATCTGGCAACTGCAATTGCAATCCCTCAAATACAAGCAAAAACTTTTCAAATCATAAATAACATATTGCATTTGCTGCAGAATAACATATTGTTCTCTGAGTCTCATATCGATCTAGAATAGCACTTGCAATTTATTTGTCAATTTTTGTCACTCAGAGACAGCCCAATGTGACACCGGAAGCAATTAGGCTACTACTATTTTCATTCTCAGTGCCTGGAGAAGTACAGACTTGTCTCAATTCGCTCCCAATTAACTCCATAACTACTTGGGAGAAATTAGTCAAGCAATTCTTGAACAAATTCTATCCACCAAGCAAGATTGTAAAGCAAAGTAATGAGATTCTGCAGTTCAAGTAGAAACCAACATAGACATTGCAGGAAACTTTGGAAAGATTCAAAGAGATGTTGGTAAAGTGTCTACACCATGGCATTCCAGATCTAATGTTGGTACAGTGATTCTAGGGCTGGTTAACAGTTTGAAAGCTAATGTTGATACTTCAGCAGGTGGAGTATTCTTAAGCAAATTATTCATAGAGTGTAAAGTTCTTCGGATAAGATAACTCAAAATTCAGGATGTAACACGAGTGACTTAACACTCACCCATGTAGTCCCTTCAATGGCTCTAGACCCGAATAATTCAATAGTTGAGGACCTTGCGACCTTGATGACTCAGATGAGCATTTTGACCAAAAAGATTGATGAATTACGCCAAAACAGATTCACATAGTTAATACTACGGATTGAAGGTTATGCACACCTTGCATAACTAGCCATACATTTGCTCATGGAGTGGTGAATGCGATAACCAGAACTACTAAGAGGATATGAATTATGTGAGCAACTTTGATGGCCAAGAAAGATGGTGGACAGCAATGAGGACAACAAAATCAATCTTGTTGCAATAACAATCTTGGAGCTGCACGACAACCGGGGGCAAGTGGTGCCTTATCAACTGCAATTTGGTTATAATCACCAAACAACAACAATAACAATTGGCTTACTAACAGCCTCATCAATTTTTTTATTTTTTTATTTTTTTATTTTATTATTTTATTATTCTTTTCATACTCGTTATTTCGACTAATTTAAATTTGTATCGTATAAATTCTAACAAGAAGTATTTCATTTCTAAGGCCGGAGCGCAAGACGTGACTTAGTTTTCCCGCACCAACATTCAAAAGTTAGTTCGTAAAACTGTTGGTGTCCACCTCAAATAAGTCTTTATTGGTGATCCGTTAATTGTTACCCCTTAAGTTACTCCCTATCTGTTTCTCGTTAGTGGTATATATTTGTTTACTATTATTATCTTCCCAACTCCCAAGCTTTAGGAACTCATCTGCAAAACAAAAATCACTTATAAAACAAGAGATAGCTGCTGAACAGAGAATATAAATAAATAGAAAGAGAACAATGGCCTCCATTAGTTGTAATTCAGTCATTTTTCTCTTTTCCCTTTTATTTTTTGCTTCTTTAATCCCAAACTTGGATGCCAACATTGCCGAATTTGACCCTTATTTGGAAAAGAAAGCTGAAGAAGCCCTCAAATCTTCTCTTGCTGCTTATAATGAAAATACTGAGGAACTCACCGAAACTTTCAACAGAGAAGTTGGAGAGTGAGTGCTTTTATAACTCTAATATTTTTTTTCAACAATTTTTCAAAGCTCCGTTATTTATTTATTTACTTATTATTAACATTAGTTCTCGCCCAACATTGCAGAACAATCTTAAATGGCACAAGGAGGTATCTGAGAGATATGATATGAGAATAATGAAAGGATAGAATTTGAAGTTTCTAGTTTTTGAACTTGCCACCAAACTCGTGATTTCTTAAACTACATGATTGTTCAGTCATTATAAAGAACAATCACAGACATTCGAGAAAAGTAGTTCGGGATCATGTTAGATCTCTGATTCTCACCTCCAATTTCATTAACAAAAGATATAAGTTTATTATTACAAAAGGTTTTCTAGAGTAAATTTCATAATTCAACTTTCCAAAAGTCACTTTTCTTTCTGTTGTTACGTACAAGTCATTCAACTTTGTGTTCATTATCAAAAAGTCATTTTTTTTCTTTTATTACACAAAAATTATTTTATTATGTTCTAGTTATCACAATAATCACTTTGACTATATTTTACAAATCTTTTACCTAAAAAGTCTATTATGCCCTTGACATTATAAATCCTCCTATTTATGTAATACCTTATATATTATATGCTATATAATATACTTTTACCCAGGTATTTTACTTATAATTAAAATAACTTAATATTATTTTATTTATGATTTTTATAATATATTCGCACATTTAATTTTTTCTTAAATTAATTTTCAAGATATATAAGTAGCATTATTAAATTTATCAATAACATTACCGTGAACAAATCTCAAGTCCACGTTCTTAATCATCTTTAATGAAATATGTTTAATAAAAATTAAAAAATCAAAGCTCATTGATTTGTCAGCCAAGCCATACCCATTAATTTAATAAATAAAATACTCACATTTAGCAAAATGATACATCATATTAATACTTTCAAATAAATAATATTAACAGATAAAGCTTTAAAAAACTTAATATTAAAAAAAAATATCTTTTAAATTATTTTTAAAATTTTTATTGACTATAAATAATTATCATTTGTTAAACAAATCTATTTTTATTATTTTAAATAAATATTTAAAAAACATTATCAATTTTATATTTAAATTATGTTCATGTTTGAATATGATTAAACAAATTGAGTGCCATGTAAAAATTAAATATATGGATATATTATAAAAATAATAAATAAAATAATTTAAAATTATTTTAATTATAAGTAAAATACCTAGGTAAAAATATATTATATAGTATATAATATAGAAGGTATTACATAAATGAGAGGGTTTATAATGTCAAGGACATAATAAACTTTTCAAGGAAAAGTATTATAAAATCTTGCCAAGGTGTCTTTTGTGATAAATAGAGCAAAGTAAAATAATTTCTACGTAACGAAAAGAAAGAAAAGTGACTTTTGCGTAATTAACACAAAGTTAAATGACCACCCATAAAATTTACTCAGTTTTCTACTGAGAAAATACAATTTGTTGTCAGGAGATTACAATTCAAACTTTAGTATATGAGTGATCAGAATCTTTTAACTATGTAGAAAAAAACAAATTATCATAAATAACATATGAAAAAAATTAAAGAATAGTTTTGCCCAAAACAACAACAACAAATAAGTGAATTCCCACAAGTGATGTCTGGGAGAGTAAGATGTACGCAACCTTACCATTACCCTATATTACCCTCCCAGAAGGGCAGAGGCACAGTTTTGCCTAATATTTAAAAAAAAAATCCTTGTAGTGTTAGATTTTTAATTAAAGTGTATTCTCTTTTTAGATTATTTTTTTTAACAATTAACACTAGTGCTTTACTTTGTAAGCTGTTTGAACAATTATTTGGTTTTTTCCTATTTTCTTCTGTTGGGGTTGAGAAGGAGTGGAAGACCAAACTTTTTTATTAAGCCAAATATCAATTGAAGATTATTTGGAATATATAAAGCTTGAAATAAATATATCCAATTTGATTATGTTTTATTGTGACAAAAGAAATCAAAATCGTAAAAGAAATGGAAAATTTAAACAAGATTCATAAATTTAGTGCAAGATTCATAAAATTAGAATTTTACTATACTCATGACGCGAACTAAAATCTCTGTTTAAGATATTCATCTTGACACATTCCTCGATAGTTATTTGTGAAGTTGAATACATAATTGCAACTATCAAAAGTTAACTTGATTAATTTATCAAGTTAAACCAAAAAAGAAAAAGAAAAAAAAAAGACAGATTTTCTCTTGGTGTTTTAAGACCAAAAATTCCGATAGAAGATTAAGAATTATCCCGAATATGTCTAAATTTTACATTTATATGCCAAAAAAGATGCTTGTCTACCTGGAGTTTCATCTAAAAATAAATTCAAAATATAAAAATCATAAAGGAACTGAATTTATTTTTAAAATAGATAATTAATTTAAAACTCTAAAAAGTACTACAATATGTAAATTTTACATTTAACAGACTTTCAGAAAGGGTTAGTGTAAGTTGATTCGCCAAATAGTGGACACGACATTCTTGAATAGATGAAATGATTTACTTTTACTTTATTACTAACATCAATTTTCGAGAAATCAGTCTAAATTGTCTTCTTACAGCATATTTTGTTAAGTCTTAAAATTGTAGGGGAGATTTGTCGTATCTGAACGAAGCCTGTAGGGAGGCTGCTTCTCCCTAGTTTTAATAGTTCGTATAGCTGATTAGTCAAAAGGTCTCAATTAGATAACATAAAAGAATTGTTAGTTGCAAGTGGAGACCCAATAATCTCTGATGCCTAAAGTAATTAATATTGACACTACTAGAAATTCAGCTAAAATCGACCGGAAAAATCGATCAAAGTTGGTTGGTTTTCAAAATATTATATTTTTTAATTTTTTTTATGAAACTGACAAATTTCGGTCAATTGTTTTAGCGCAAAAATGCGGGAAATTATTTTGGCATTCCGCGAAATTTATTTTTTAAGAAATCGACCAACTTTGGTCGATTTTTCATATAAAATAAATTAAAATTAATATTCAAAAAAGTGACCGAAGTCGATCGGTTATTTCAGTCGGTCACTTTAAAAAATCGACCAATTTCGATCGGTAATTTTATATTTTTAATAAAACCGACCGAAATCGGTCGGTTATTTTTGCGCGAAAATGCAATTAAAGGGTACACATAAAATAAAAAATAGTCTTAAACCAAAATGTACCAATGGTCTAGTGGTAGAATAATATCCTGCCACAATACAAATTCCGGTTCGATTCCCATACGGTGCATTTTTTAATTGCATAATTAAAAATACCGACCGACCTCGGTCGATTTTTTCTTTTTTGGTCGTTTGTAAAATTTAATTGACCGACCGAAATCGATCGGAAATAGCGACCGACTTTGGTCGCTATTTATTACCGACCAGCCTAATTTCGACGGATTAAAGTAGGTCGAAAATCGATCGATTTTTTCAGTTTTTCGACCTATTTCGGTCTGTATTTCTGAACAGTTTTAGGCAGTTTTCTAGTAGTGTGAGTTTAACTTTTGTAAGTTGATAATTTACAATCAATCATTTAAAAAATTAATCATAGTATTAGGTGATCGCTCTGATTTTTTAATCATTTTTTATTTTTCTTTCTCTTGAAGAAAGATTTTCTTTTTCTAAAAGGAAATTATAAATATCTCATAGTTAGCTAATTTTTTTTTTCTTGGAGGAAAATATTTTGTACTTTTACAAATTAAGTATACTTTCTCATTTTGTAGCATCAAGCATAAGGGGTTTGAGTATCACGATCCAAATCCCACTGGAATCGTGATGATACCTAATCCAACCCGATAAACAAGCCAACCAACATAACGCATCTCAAACCAAAGATTATAAAATAAATAAATAAAAATGAAACTTTATACAGATTACCCCAAGAACAGGTGTTATAAGTCATGAGTAACTAAGAGATGGAATACAATGCTGGTATGAAGGAAATATATCATCTGTTTGAATATACATAAACAAAAATATACTCCTAAACTACCATGAAAACAATAGTAGCTTGCAACTAGAATGTTAGTACATCTTCAATGCTAGCCCTCGAATTTCGCAATAGCTCGGCTCCAGATATTTGCATGCAAGGTACAGAAGTATAATATGAATATAACTGATCTCATGTACTCAGTAAGTATCAAGACGAACCTCAACGAAATAGTGGCGAGATTTAGTCATAAGATACTCACTTAATAAAACATGTGCAGTTCATAAGTAGAGAAACAACAAAGGAACAACGGACATCAATAATAAGATGCACAATCCAAGATAAAGGTAATAAGCATGCTTTTCGGTTAATCATATCAAAAACACATACAAATATACCAAATTCGCATATAAAGAAGATGTAGACCAAGTAACATTAACCTGAATACTTTTACATGAATATAGAGTGTTTATGTATGATAAAGATTCAACTTCACATTAATTCTCAAATAGCATTTATAAGAATGCTCGTACATGGGTCTAAAATATTTGTGCATGATGAAAACTCAACCTTTACATCAATCATATACCTTCATGTGTCTAACATTCCACTAGCAAGTCCTACATATGTATAAAATGCTTGCAAATACATATGTAGATGATATGCATGAATGTTTGTACATGAGTCTAGAATATTGATGCTTGATAAAAACTCAAACTTTACAATAATAGACAATTCTTGTACCCCTAACATTCCCCGTGTCGAACTGTGCACACACGGCTCAAGGTAGAATAGGCAATTTACGTGACTACAAAGGAATGGATCCAAATCCATGTGCCAGAATATTATAGCTCTATAATCAATCATCAATATCTCATAAATCAATCATCAATCCACACGGAATGAACCATCGTGCCATAATTATAACAATCGCATGGACAACTCACGTGCCATAATTATCTCAACCGCACGGATAACTCATATGTCATAATCTCAGTCCATGTAAGAGTACCATATGTAGGGATATTGAAATGACCCGACCAGTCATTTCGAGTATTTGCACTTCGCTCGGTAGTTTTAGGGCATGAGTAGCTCTGTATGATGTATTATGACTTATGTGAATCGTCGGTTTTGATTTTCAGATTATTCGAAATCGATTTGGAAGAATGAATTTCATGATTTAAGTTTTAAGTTGGAAGAGTTGACCAAGTTTGACTTTTGTGAATTTGACCCCGGAACAAGAGTTTTGATGGTTTCGTTAGGTCCGGATGGTGATTTTGGACTCGGTCGTATGCCCGAATTTGCATTTGAATATTTCTAGAAGGATTCGGCACTAATTGGCGAAAGTTGGAAATTTGAAGGTTTGGAAAGTTCGTAAGTTTGACCGAGAGTTGACTTTGTGGATAGCGGGTTCGGATTGTGGTTTTGGGAATTTGAA